GCCAAATATCACATTTTACACCATTGAAAGTACAGATATATATATGCTGAAATCTTGTTGCAGTTACACAAATGGCGTAACTTTTAGAAGCAAACTGTACTATCTTAAAAAACTCTTTTTTTCTGAAGGTATTTTCTGTTGCATGCAAACCATGTGTCTCAATATGCAGCAATGTCTACATAGATGTCTTAACTTATGACAATTTTAATCTAAAAGTTACATAGCTTCTGTAACTGTACAATAGGATTTCAGCCTATATATTTATTTTAAGGGCACAAAGGTTCCAAGTCAGTATAAGAGAAGGCAAAAAAGAATGTTGTCTCTTTGGTCCATGAAGCACTTCTCCGTTTTACTAGTCAGCTATCCATATGACAACTCTGGAAATATTTTCTTATTGATTTGTGTCTCAGAAACTCTCTCACACACACACGCTATGGGGAATTCTGTGACACATTCATTGAGTCCCTATTGATTCATGTAGTACAGCATACTCCAGTAAATAGTAAGGCTGTCTTAGGATGATACTAAGGGAGGGTACTAAGTTGGAGCATACTAACCTGGGATGCTCCCCAGTCCTGCTGGGTCTCAGTGCAACTCCACTTGAACTCCGGGTGTACCTGGAACATATTCAAGCATTTGCAATTGCTGCACATTGTCAATAGTATCAGAGAACATGTTTCCCATGAAGTTCTTGGGAATTGTCATGAACCTTAAGATTGTCTTTTTAAATGATTTGAAAACCACTGAGGTAGAAGACACAGGAATCATGTCCAAAATAACCAGATTGTGAAATATTATCTCTGACTTCAAAGAGTTCTTCGAAGAGTTTCAGTCTTCAAAGAGTTATTATTTAAATGCAACACATTTGTTACTAGCATATGTCAATAATCCAGCAGAATCAAGACTCATTAGGTCCATGCTTTCTATATAGAGAATATTTCATAAGACATTACTCTGCAAACAAAGTCACATTTTAGCACATGGAGTACCAATGCCAAAAAACAGTGAATTTGGGGCTCATGTCAGCAACACCAACATCCAGTCGGGATGCTAGGCCTGCAGAATAGTTAGGTCCACTGCATGTTAAAAATTAGCATGAGTTGTATTTGAGATAGGCAAAGGGTGGACATGTTACTTCCAGGTACCTGCTTCTGGTTTCTCAATTTTTTCATTTGGGGGAGGGGGGCAAGTAAAAAACCACTGAAACTTCTAGAAGAAGAAAATGCACTGTGTGTGTGTGTGTGTGTGTTTCAGCACATGGGGTTTAACAAAGCCCCTGGGGCACACTTTGCTTACCCTAGGCAGAAAAATCCCTTGACAGCAGCCCACTTCAGACAGAATCACTAATCTTGGACAAAAATGGGCTGGAGTCCACAACAGCTTATGTCAGATAGAAACAGACAGCACCACATTATGAACATATATTTTCTATGCTCAGTGGGCCTGGGCCATAAAGAAATGGTGGCCAATTGCAGCCCAAAGCAGGTTTTCATTGTGTCTGATCTCTATTCTTCATTGTTTCTTTGTAACTTCAAAATCAGAGTTGGATAACACTTGTTATCAACCCTCAAAACAAAAAAAAAAAGGAAAGCTTTCAAGTCTTCTAAGTTTTTGAAAGCTCATAATTTTAAATATTATTTGGTATTTCAATGACAATATTATGCAATTCTGATTTTTTAAAATTTTACTCATGGATCCCATTGTACTATCTTTTTTTTTTAAAAAAAAAATTCAACCCAACACTCCAGTGAAAAACAATTTTTAAATTATGATTCTCTATAATATCTTCCACATCCATTTTCACGAGAGAAGAAGAAAGCTTTTATAAGTCTTCTTGTTATAATGAAATCTTTGGTTTGCCTGAAATAAGGAAAAGATTAAAACTGAGCTTTTTAAAAAAAACCAAGAATTTGGAAGGCTCTCTGCTATTTGTGTATGGCAGAGAAAACTGATCCAAACACCTTGCATAAAACCATCTTTCTCTCCACATTTTTTTTTATTTTCAAGAATATTTTTGTACTATATAGAAATATTATTGGATTTCTGAAAACATTTAAAAAATGACAGTCAGTTCAACAATTTACACATAGTGTGAATTCAACCTGATAAAAATCCTAGACAGAATCTAGCTGCAGTACAAAGAGTAACAATATTCATAACAGAGCAACTCGGAGAAGCAACTGCAAGGGCAGGGGGCAGTGAGAAATATATTGCCTGGAAATAACTATGTAGGAACTGATACAAATTTGGGAAGACATTTAAAGGTAGTGTTAACATACCAGTTTAACTCTCTGATATGCCTAGATCTAATTAGTTCTCAGATCGGTTTAGCACAGGAGTAGAGTGGTGCAATCTCGCAAAATCCCTGGGGATATTAATTATTTTTCTATCTGAGGACCGCTGAGGGACAAATAACATACACAGATAATCCAGCAGAGCCAGAAATAAAAAAAGCATGCCTACAATGAGGGGAAAGAATGTGAAAAGATTTGGGGATGAATCTTGTGCAGGCTCTGATCATTTTCTTCGTGCAATTCAGTTGGGTGTTTGACCTGACTATGGATTTCAAGGTGAATACTTCCGTGCTTAAAAGTCTAGTCACACAGTCATGCAGCTCCAGGAATTCTGACTTACTTCCCCCAAATTTTACTGTGTACAACAGTGTCTAACCTATGAACTTGATAAGTATTGGACTGTTTGTATTATTTATAATCACAAAATGCAATATTCAACTGAAGAAGCATATTGTTGATAATTTACTCTAAGAGTATACAAACTACACACAAAAATTGTTTCAAATATATACTCTGCATATCTTATGTTAGCTTTTTAGATTTTAGGGCCTGCCTCAGTCATGTGCCTGTTCATGCATTTGATTGCACCACCAAGATGTGCTCCGCCAATTAGCCACAATCAATTAGCATCAATTACCTGCTGCAAATTAAGCAAACCTTATGTGAACTCTAATAGGATTCTGACCTATGTTTACTGCACACACAAAAAATACAGGCAATGTCCAGTAAATATCATGACTCTAATAAATTGGGAGTTCTGCCTCAATAAACACATCTAGGTTCAGCTGGTCCTAGCCATATTTATTAAGGTGGAACTCCCAATTCACCTCACTAGGATCTACTTCCAAGAAGAAAGCTTAGGACTGAAACATGTAATAGCTTGAACCAAGGTAACTTTGAAACAAGTACCACTGAGTACAACAGCCCTGGCCCAAAGCAAAAGTGTCTTAACATTCAGGTCTTACATCACAATCACATGCATGTTAGATACCCCCTAGAACAGTGGTTCCCAACCTTGGGCAACACAGGTGTTCTTGGTCTGTATCTCCCAGAAATCCTGGCCACCATGGCTAGTGGTGAAGATTCCAGGTAGTTGCAGTCAAAGATCACCTGAGTTACTCAAGGTTCTGAGCCCTTGCCCTAGCGGATTCAACTAAGCTTACTTCTAGTGAGCCTAGACAATCCACGGCCAGAGCAAAGGAGCACCTGATTTCAAAATACTGATGCCCTCCCCCAGATCATGCACTGCACTGCTTGTGGCTGAGTTAGGATCGCATTCTTACAAAGGAATCCCAAACATTTTTATTCAGAAGTGAGACCATTGGTTTTAACCCAAGGGAATCTAGCCTAAGTTTTTCAGTGAGTTTTCTTTTAGTATATCACTTTTTCACACCTTGAAAAAGCAGAGGCAAGTGACTCCCCCTCCTCTATCCTGGGTCATAATTTTAAGCTATGATATACCACTTTCTTTTGTTATGCATACAATGAGACGAGCGGTGTTCTAGCTTTAGAAGATGGAGTAAGCAGGTTTGGGGTGATGTGGGGACTTCTGAAAGAACAAAGCCTCAAAATATGGCACTGTTAGACTAGTGTGGGGCAGAGCATATAGGCTGCACACAAATTAACTGGAAAGATCTTCTAAGGGCCATACAAAGGGGCTTCTACCCCACTTTTGCAGAGCTGCTGTATAAAAGAAAAACTGAACCCTCTATTTCATTAAATTATATAAGTGTGACTTGACTAATCAACAAAACAGAGAACACCTACTAAGAATTGGGGAACAGAGGTAATTTTCTAAAAAATTAATATTAATCAAGAAGGTTCTTGTTTTGATTGATTGAAACAGACTTTATGAATCAAGCATGAGCTACTTTTTTAAAAAAAATGTTGTGCTATAAAAAGTGTCCATATTTAAAAATCACTATAATACAAATTTTAAAAATAATCCAAATACATGTTTATTCCTCAAACTATAACACCCAAAGAAATCCTTTAAAGCCCACTGTGAAAACACTGTCCAAGGGATACAAATTAGGCTGATTCCCGATGTGTGCATTCATCATTGTGCGGTGCAATTATAGTGACAATGCCATTCTGCCCACTACTAAAAGCTATTATTCACATGAAGGTGTTGGGGTTTCCTATAATATTAATAGGGTCATTTCCAGAGGCCATTTTTTTTTGTCCTGGGAAGAGCTTTGGATATAATTCTCCCTCTCAACCAGGTTAGCAGCCACAAAGGGCTACCAGCAATTGTATTCTGTCGCTCTAGCAATGCAGGTTGATACAGACTACTCACATTTGCACTCAATGCAGGTCGATACAGACTACTTAAATTTACACCCGACTGAGTTCAATGGGCCTTAAGTGGTTGCAGGATTGCATCTTAAGTATACCACTAAACCTAGAAACTTTTACTTGCCAGCAGCGGCTATTACCTCTGACCTCCCATTCCCAGCAGTGTTACAGCATACTGAAAGTAGTTCCTCGTGAAGACAGCCACATGTCTCTGGAGTGCAGGAGCATCCTATGAATGCCTCCAACCAGACAAAAGAGGATTCCCTTCCAAAATGACATGTTAATGTTTGTCCAAAGAACACTTGTACATTCAGAAAGTTTACATGTTGTCATTCTTAAATCTCAGTAATATCGTTCAGTTTTACTGTTAACACATTAACACAATGAGTATCAATAAATAAACTGGAGGAAAAGCTTTCAAAATTGTATTATTATTACATTGTGCAAAACATTTAATGACCTACATTCTATGCACATACCCTGACAAAAAATATACAGGCCAAATCCCAAAGCCATTATTCAGTTGCTGTCCTTTTCTGGGTGATCAACTCTCCAAAGTACAAGCAAGAGTAACCTGCTGCCTTCAAGTGCAAAATTAAGCATACTCAAGTGCCCCTGATTCAGTGGAGCACATGTGCTGAATGTGGTGCTAGACTGTAGCTGTTACAGCTTGCTAATCTTGCACCAATAAGGTCCATGGGACTTTTGCCATGGATTTGAATGACACCAGCATTAGGCACTGCGTAATGACTTCAACATTTGGCCCTCTCTTGTGATCTGTGTTACAGGTACACTAATCCACTTAAGTGCAGGAACATTTTCCCTCCAAAACAAAACATATTTCTTGTTGTGTATCATCAGACTTAGCACTTGGTTTCAAAACCTGCCCTTTCACTGGGAGGAAGAATAGCTTATGCAGTTTAAACAAAGTAAGTAACAAGATCCATTACAATTTGATTATCCAGCAGGGGTAGGCTTTTTAAAATCAGTTCCAAAGGAAGCATAATGGCTCAATATTTGACATCAATCACTTTCTTCATCAGGACCAAGAGAACTCCAGTTCATCAGCACATCCTGTACTGCTTATGATAGGAATGAAACGGTGATGCCTGCGTGTTAGGGAGACGGTGTTCTCATATAGCTCTCTGTTCTCCTCCAGACAGATGCTGGTGGCATCTGAGCCAATTTGGAATTTAAAATTTTGGTTGTTTTCTTTTTCTGTTTTTTCTGTTTTTTCTTTTCTTTAACAAGTATATTCAAGGTCAACCAAGTTTAGTAAGTTGGAGATCTCCATTTATCTTTATTGTATCAATAGCTGACAACTTCTCAATGCGATGGTAAAAATCAAAAAGCTGGTGTCCATCCACAAATACTCTAAAACGAGGGTGCTCACAAAGTATTTCAACCTGTAAGAAATAAATTATGAACCAGGATCACAATTTTCACTAGACATAACATTTCAAAGATGTTAAATACGACTATTACTGGAACATCAAAAAAGTTAAACACCACTAGCAACTTATGAAATCCGGTGAGGTAATTACCCATTGCTGGCTAAATGGTTCAGAGAGATAGGTAAACCACTTCTGAACTGTCTATACTGAGAAAACATTTGACAGGTTTGATATAAGTCAAAATTGACTTGAAGGCACATTATTATTATTAATCATCCAGTTATTGAAGAAAGTTGGGTGATCCAGAATATTATACTTGGACCTGGAAATCTGATAGAAATGCTGATAGTAGAATCACTGAGTAGCACTGGCCAAACCACTCGTCCTCTCTCGGCTTCTGCTGCAGGTCTGCAGCATGAGCAATGAGTACAATGTCATAAATGGACTATGACAAACCCACTGAGTGACTGGATAGAATGGTTACTGTAACATGGTTTTCACATTAAAAGTACGATGTGAATGATTAATTCATTATTACTAGCAGGTTATAAAATGCAGCTCCTTGAAGCATCACTCTACTAGTGACACCGATATTGCTGAATGGACAGTTGTGGTCAGAAAAATCTCACAGCATAACAATAGTGCTATTAATGCATTTCTGCCTTCCTGCAACAACAGATCTGGACTAATCCATAACTAATTCATGTGATTGTGTCACATGTACAATATTATAATTCAAAGCAATTCCTCTAGCATAAGCAATGTGTGTGGTCTACCTATTATTTGCCTATGCTTTAGAGCAGTGGTGTCCAACCTTGGCCCTCCAGATGTTCTTGGACTTCAACTCCCAGAAATCCTGGCCAGCAGAGGTGGTGGTGAAGGCTTCTGGGAGCTGTAGTCTAAGAACATCTGGAGGGCCAAGGCTAGACACCACTGCTTTAGAGTATAGATAGCCAGTGTGGTGTGGTGGGAAGAGTGATGGTCTAGGACTCAGGAGGGCTGGGTTCAAATGCCCACTCAACCATGTAAACTCATTGGGGGTGTGGAACTGGGTTAGCCACTCCTCAATTATCTCACTTACCCATTAGGTTTGCTATAAGTCAGTTCCAACTTGATGGCACAGAACAACAATAATGATTTAGATGGTTATTATTCACATTTCATAGAAAAGTAAACGAGACTGAAACACTGAAACTTGATAATATGAGCTATATGCAATACAGATATTACCTAGAAGATTTTTGACCCCAGGACCTACCAGTCTCTGAAAATATTAAAGAAAAAAGAAAACATGAAGAAATCCCCCACTTTCAATTTAACTATTACCTAGAAGATTTTTGACCCCAGGACCTACCAGTCTCAGAAAATATGAAGAAATCCCCCACTTTCAATTTAACGGAGTAGAGATAGAGAGGTTTGGGGTTTTAGAGTGGTCTGAATGCTATTTAAAAGCAAAATTCTTGCTCCTCCCTTTGAAGAGATGGGGGCATGAAGAGGTCCAGAGAGTTCCCGTAACCCACATCATTGCCCTTCAGGCAACACAGGGTCCACAGGCTGCACCTGACCCAGGTCTGACCTAGAAAATGCTCTGATGGCTGACCACAGAGTTTATCTTCTGATGTTAAACAGAGGGGAAAAAAGGAGTATGACTAAATAAAGGAACACAGATCTTTCAGGCTCCACTATACATCTCTAGACTTCAGCTTCTTCCCTACTGGGAGCACCTGAGGCTGACACTTTGGCAATTTGTGAGTGAAACATGTAGGGAAGAAAGAGGATCTACCTTACACTCTCCTAGGTTTTGAGCCCTAAATGTTGAACTATCTCTAGAAACCACTCTAGCCCCCTATCTCCTTGGTTGAATTAGCAAAGATTTGCACATGCTTTACTTCTCTAAGAGCAATTAAAATGGCACTGGAAAAATACTAATGTTATTAATTCTGCTGTTTGCTGATGCACAGAATCTCTCTCTCTCTCTCTCATTCTCTCTCTCTCTCTCGGGCCATCAGGTCTTGCAAATATCCTTGCTGGACCTAAGACTCCAAGCCGATTCAATTCAGGTTAATAGCAAAGATGTTAAATGGCTTCAGCTGCCATTGGGATGAAGCCTAGGCTTTACTCAGCACTTGCAAATGCGGTTGTCTAGCATATCTACACTTAGATGGGAGTACACCTGCTTGAAAGCATCTCATAAAATCAAGTGACATATCTCCCAGAAATACTCATAGCCCAGCCCTCAGAGGTATCTCTGCAAGGAACCCTCACAGCCCACTTCATTAAATCTGATTTTGTTTTATCAATGGACCCATTCCAGATATTTGGAAACCTATGTAGTTACAGAATAACAGAATAAATCTTAAATCCATCATTCATCATTTCCAGAGTAGTTGTCCTGACATTAGTAGAAGGGATAGGCTCTCATCAGGTAAGGTATTCTAGTCATTTATTCTGGAAAAAGTAATGTAAGACTCGTGGGTTTAGGGTCACTTGTGGACATAAACATAACACTTCAGAGCAGGGAAAAGTTCTCTTTTTGGAAAGTAGCACTCTCTGAATATTGCAGTGCTGTGAACAGGGCTGCCTTTTAAGCAGCTAAAGAAACAGCATACGGTACTATACAGGTATTTGTTAAATGCAGAGGTTGGGAGTAATTTGATGCAAGTAGTGATGTTGCTCTTAACAAGTGAATTTCGAGTGTAACAAAAGCAACACAACATTACTTTTTGCAGAGTAACAGAATGGGGGGAACTGTTACTTTCCCACACAAGTATAGTTTTAACCATTCTGACAGCCTTTCCCAAGGGGCAGTGGGGGGAATCACTCTACAGCATGTTATTTAAGACAAAGAGGTCTCGCTGCCCACAGCACGCACAAAACCCGGTCTGTTTAAAAGTCCTTTTTTCTTTTCTTTTACTAGTCTACCTCCTTCTTTCACCACACAAAGAGGGACATGAGTGTAGCCCTTCCTGCTTCCTGTGGAGCAACATCTCACACGGGCCTGCAAGTGCTCTGCCAAACAAGAGGGAAAGGGCCTGTAAAGGAATTTATTTTAATGCCATGGCACTAGACAGGGAAGCAAGGAACCCTTGTTTTAAACAAAAGAAAAAGCAATGTACCTGGCCACCCCACACGTAAGATAAGCAGAAAAATCCCCCCTGACACAACAAAAACAAGTGATGTATTACTAAATGTGCTGTCACTCCAACAAGTAACATGGAGTGGGCACTCTCAGTGGGCTTGGTGATCATGTTTTTACTCCCAACACTACCACTACATGCGGTAGCCCTGGAAACTGGCCACTTCAATTTGTCTGTTGAATGTGTTTGGGAGGGCCCTAAGAAACTGTATTCAGCCCTTAACATCCTCATGGCTGCATCTGGAAGCCTCCAGGGTGTGAAATGAGGGAGTTGCCCCACATTTGTTTTCTAAAGCAGAGCCTCTGTAGTGGCTGTAAGAGCCCAAAAAACAAACAAAAAAAAACAACAACAACAAAAACACCAATCCTCCAGGTGGCTGTACACTGTATGCTAGTTACATTTTGTGTACCTCTGGAATAAGAGGATGAAATACTTTTTAAAAGTACAGTATTGTCCTGACTACTGGTTAAATGAGACATACTGTGTCAATTTTGGAACAGCTACATTGGCTACTGTTCTGTTTCTCAACATGATGCAATGTGTTGCTTTTAAAAAACGTGGGGCAAGATCCCCAAAGGACTGCCTATAGCCTCATGAGCTTGCCTGGAACCTGTGGCATGTCCTCTTCAGGTGGGTGGCGACTCAAGAGAGGCCAGGGGGCTACCGATGAAAAGGCTGTATGTGATTAATGTTCCACAGAGGCTGATTTCCACAGCCATGTTCCTACTGCATTCATTTTTATGCTGAATTTCAATTGTCAGACATGTTGTCATTTATTAACAATTCATTGTTGATTTATACTTATATTACTGTGTGTTTATTTTTATGTTTTCCTTTGTGTATCACTCTTCTGAAATCATGGCTGAAGAATGCCTAATAAAACTTCATTAAAGTTGAAGTATTTTTTTCTTTTTATAAATAAAGTACTTTAAATATTACTTAAAATGTATTACTTTAAATAAGAAACCTCACTAAGACTCTGAGAGGATATTACTCTTTCCTCATTCTTCATCTACAAACTTGGCACCCTAGCCATTCCATTAAGAAAAAGTAATGTAACTAAAGTGATGGCAAAGCTAATATATACATGTTAAGTTGTTATATGTGTCAAGTTGGAACCAACGTATAGCAAATCTAAAAGAGTTTTCAAGTTAAGTGGAATATTTAAGGAGCAGCTTTACCAGTTCCACACCCCCAGGGAGCTTCCATGGCTAGGCCGGAATTCAAACCAAGACCTTCTGAGTCCTAGTCTGTCACTCCATCCACTATGCCATACTGAGTATCCACATAATGTCATGGTGAAATTTAATTATTCTTAACCTCAAGAGACAATGTACCAGAAAAGTTTGTCCAATTATTAACGTCTCAAAGCACACAAAACACAGGGGTCATATGTATAAGATATACACAGTATTGCTAGTAAAGTCCATAAGATCAGAGAAAGCAAATACAGGATATGCCCATGGTCTCATATAAACAAAAATTGTCCTCACTTGACCTCAAAACCTGACTTTGCCATTTATCCTTTATTTTAAATTATACTCTCGCCTACACTTCCTTTAGGAAGACATAATAACAGCACAAAGCAATAAGGCTAATGATCATTATAATCTGGAATGTCTTGCATGTTTACATCTGGGAACTCAGCCATTGCTAAGAACAAAGTAATACTGCTGGCATGTGGATAATCTAGTGGGTTCCCAATAGCAGACTGGAAAGGACATAATCTCAGCCAGCTCTGTTCACATTATTACTTTCTGCAGTGCCATTCAAGGCAAAGACACTCCGCTCCAGTGGCAGATGCAAGCTTATAACAAGAACAGGACACAATGCTTTTCAGAGACAGTTTGACATGGTTCCTGATATCATTGTCCTTGAGAGTATGTTAGCGGTAAGCAGAAAAGTATGTTGTGGCATAGTGAGCACTAAAAGATTGCCAGAAGAACTCCAAAGACCACTAAAATGTCCAATAATATATCTGAACATCAGTAGGAATTAACTGGCTCTTTGTCCCTCCCTTGACCCAAATCAGCTGGACATGAAGTTGATGCTTACACAAGGCCTTCTGGTTGCCTGGCAACATGGTGCAACAGAAAAGGTCATCAGGGTTGGAAGTTAGGCCTAAATTTCATCTTATTGTATCATGAGTGTGATTACTTTCGCATCCATGGACCTTTTTTCATTTTTTGGCAGGGAATCAGGGTAGGGATTAAGATGTACTAGAAGGGTTTTTCATCATTTACCTCCATGCTGCATGGATTTAAAAAAAATACCCTCCTCTTTTTGTGGACAATTTTGCTACCAGCAGATAATCTAGGCGGGTGATAATATTCAATGGGTCCACCTATCAAGAGTCCCAGTCATGACAGCCGCTATGGTGCTATTTGAAAAATACAGAAATATTGGCTGAAATCCAGTTGTAGGTCATACTAGAGTAGCCCCACATTTGATGAGTTACTCTTTTGTAAATTCAGCTGATTCAGTTGGACAATCTGGATTTCAGGCATTAAAATCTGTTCTACATTTAGCAGAAGATGCAGATTGGCAATTAGGTTAAAAGAAAGCAAGTGGTATGTTCCTCCAGATTAGGTTCCAAAGGGGAATGGGGACCACTGAGGGCCCAAGGACAGCAAAACATACTCCCCTCTCATGGTTTAGATGCTTTGAGAAAATCACTCTCTCCTGCTTTAATTCTGTAAGCCCAATTTTCCCCTTGGTCCATTGTAGGGGTTGGCATCATGGAAGAACTATTGAACAACTACAACTCCCATAATGCTTCACTATTAGCCAGTTAGTTAGGCTTGCTGAGAACTACAGTGCAAAAATGTCTAGAGGATGGGAATTGCTCACACTGGTTTAAACAATGTTTAGGAACTTGTACTTGAGCACTGGTTGTCAAATTTTATACCCTTTAACTACCTAAACAATGCTGGGGTGGCATTAAGCCATTTAATAATACTTTTCTTATTATGAAAATAAAGCATATGTCTAACTCATACTTCAATAACAATTCGTTCTTCAGCACCAGCATTCCCATCAAGGCCAGAAATTCACTATGAAAAAAAAATCACTCTGTCCCAAGCTATCAAGAAGGGCCCTTTCATTCAAAGGTAAATGTTCAGATTAAAATTAATAGACTCTGTCAGCACCATATTATGAAAATCATGTACCCTCAGCAAGAGTCTTGTTAGCCTCCTTGATAACCTGGCTGAGATCTCAATTAAATCAAGTACAGAAACAGGCACATTATTCCTGCCTTTCTATAGACAATAGAAATGAACCTTGCAGACCACAGTTCAAAAACATCTGCCAAATAAGTAATCTCCAAGGCCAATCCTCCCGAACCCTACTTCTTAATCTTGGCTTTCATAAGTCTCCATGATAGATGGGTTAGGAAGGCAATGGGGAGAAGAAGCAAGCTCAGCTCCCATCTATTATCCATAGAATCATAGACAAATGGAGTTGTAAGGGGCCTATAGGGCCATCAGGTCTAACCCCCTGTTCAATGCAGGAATTCAAATCAAAGTATATCTGGCAGATGAATAAGTTTCTCTTGAATGCTTCCAGTGTTTGAGTGCTCACTACCTCGTGAAGTAACTAGTTCCACTGTCATACTGGTCTAACAGTAAGGAAGGTTCATATAACACTAAGGAAGGGTCATCAAGGGGGAACCTCTGGTATATACAAAGGCTCATCAACAAAGTACAAGCCAGAAAATACAACCCATAAGACAAAAACATGGAGATAGTAACAGTGAGAATATGAATTGTACAGTAGCCACCTGGCATAATTTGAGAGTGTTTTCAATATAACGTTGTAATAACCAAACCCAGAGTATAATAATACTACATATAACCACCTTTGTTTCCTTGTAGCAATGCTATGTCTGAGCTTCCTAGTCTTTACAAAGAAATTACCATTACTAGGAATACATGTCTTTGTATTCCTAGTAATGCTTTCCACACTACAGAGACCTTTGGGTAGTGTGGGCGGCATACATTAAACAAACAAACAAACAAACAAACAAACAAACAAACACTTAATGCCATGCATGTACATTTACTACTACATGCCCTTTGAATTAAATTATTTAAATGGGCAGTAATTCCTATAGCACCATGTTCTATTTAACAGGAATGTGACTGTTCAAAATAATAATAATAATCCAGCACTTTCTGAAGTATGTACAGTGATGCCTTGCAGGATGAAAATAATTCATTCTGTGAGTCGTTTCATATTGCGAAAAGTTCATCTTGCAAAGTGCGGTTTCCCATAGGAATGCATTGAAATTTAATTTTTTTTAAAAAATCCCCAAAAAATTGTCTTGCGAAGCACAGCCATAGAAAAATTTGTCTTGCGAGTCACAAACAATCGCAGAATGCTTTTGTCTTGCGAGTTTTTCATTGTGCGAGGCATTCATCTTGCGAGGCATCACTGTATAGTTGTTTCATGAATACTTTGTACTCACCCTGAAGGGCTGGTCTGGGATAAATGGAAAGTAAGGAAGAGATGACTGTTCTTCTCCCCATTCACCAGATATGCAAGAATTCCTGAGGAACTGTCTATCCGGGAATATGGCTTTCAGCTCGATAGCTACATCAGCAGGAGGGTCCTCTGAGTCTCCACATGTAAGGCTGATGTCAAAACTGTAATGGGAAGAGCATCCACCTCATTCACCCAGAACAAAAAATCAAATCCAAGATATGGCCTGTTTGACTTCTAAAGCCTATGCAGACAAATGGATCTTAAGTGGTCCTGCCAACAGCTGGCAAATAATGATGGGATGTGAAACTAGCTTTTATGCTTGCGGTCCTGATCTATTTCTTTCTTGCCCTCACTGCTCCGATCACATGTTTCTCCTCCCCACACCCCAAGGCAGAAAGGATCTCTGCTTAGAAAACAGACTATGAGCAAAATGGCCCTTACTGGATCTGAAAGGAAGGCTGAGAAAGAAGGATCTTCTCTTAAAAAAAAAATAAGCCCCCTCTATGGGTCACCGGGAAAAAACAAGCATTCTATATTTACATCTGCAGATAAAAATAGCTGTCGTCAGAAATGATGGATGTGTGGTAGGCACATTCTTTTGGTGGGAACACAGTTTTTCTTGCACTTCTTGGGATGAGAAGGAATACACAGACAGGCCCCGAGGCCTCCTGCCCGTGGGAAGCAAACCCTTAGCTCTGTCTGAAGGTTACCTCTCTGGATTGAGATCCACGATGCCCATGACCAGAATCTTCTTCCCAGGCCTCATTCCTCCTTTGATGTGCCCACAGAATGGGACAATCTGGAAAAGGATGGCAGGGATTCACCATGAATAAATAACCTCTTGCCTAAGAGGAGGAGCAGACAGAGGGCCTGATCAGGCCCCATAGGAAAACAAGAGAAGGAAGAGGGGAAGGCAAATAATAATAATAATCCTTTACCAGTCGTGGAAAATACACTTCTGCCTGGACAGGAGATCCCAAGGAGTTGTTTAGATGCCCGTCCTCTATTTTCTATGGAGATACAAAAAGAAGAAGAGGAAGAAATACACAGAAATGCACCCTCAGCCAGAACCTTTGTGTTCAGCACCCGCCCCCTCCGAAGGGGAGAGAAAGAGGGAGGGGCCCTCGGAGCGCCAATTTCATTTCAACTCTGGAAGAGCCCCATCTTTTCTCTCCAGCCTTCCCCCCCCCGTTTTCTTCTTTTTGCAAAACAAAGGGTGTTGCCCAATAATTCCCCAACAAGTGCTGCAGGTACAACTCGTGCCTGCCGCCCGCCCGAGATGGGGCAGACTCGCGTATTGCCAGTCGCAAGGAGCGCGTGAAAACCCAGACATGCACACACACACACGGGGGGGGGGAGAGAGAGACAACCCGGTAGAACACCTGAAGCCGAGGAGCGGCGAGGGCTAAGAAGCCGCAACCCAAGGCGCCGGGACAGTTCCTCCCAGCTCCCTCAAGCTCCCTCTCAGCCCGCCCGCCCGTCCCCATAAGCGGGAACCGAAGGCGCCTTCCCTGCCTCACCAGCGGCTCCTCCCGCCGCCGCAAACAGGTACTCTGCTGGCAAGCCTTCGCGCTCGCCCCTTTTCTCCAGCCTTAATCCGACGCCAGGGGGGCTCTCGG